AAATGAAAAAAATCCCTTTCGAGATTTTTATTTTTTTGATTTTCGAGATCTCCTTTTGTTTTCCCCGTAACCGCAAGGTGCGATTCTCTGTTTGTTTTGGTCTCCGAAAAATTAGGAGAATGCGTCGAGGAGCGAGGTCAAACCCTAGCGCTGGCTCTTGAGGCCCAGAAGTGCGAAGCAGAGCGGCGACCAAGACCGAGGACCGAGAATTGCATTACGTACAAGGTGAGGGGGGATTGAGGTTTTGTGTTGTGTTGGGTTTGGTTTTGTTTTGTTTTGTTTTGTTTTGTTTTGGAGAAAAGCCTGACCACGTTTTGGGTTTTTGGGTTTTGGTGGAAGATATGGCGATGATGATGAGGAAGAGGGTGGCGTTGTGCCTCCTGGTGGCGGCGTTGGGGGTGGCGACGGGGGCCGTGGCCCAGGACATCCCTGACAGCTGCAAGAGCCTCGACCCCAGCACGCTGGACACGTCGGATCCCTCCGCGTTCGCGACCCTGCTGCCTTGCACGGGGTGGGACCAGACGTGCCAGAGCAACGTCCTGGCCGCGGGGGCCTCGTGCATGCAGGAGATCCAGGCCATCAGCAAGTGGGCGAACTCCAGCAGCGTCCAGAGCGACCTCGCGTCCGAGACCGGCCTGAGCGCCAACTCGACCGACGCGGACGTGAAGAACACCACCGCGAGCGTCACCCCGGACCAGGTCAAGGCCGACCTCGACGCGAGGATCCCTGACCTCAAGACGGCCCTCGGAGGGTGCTGCGGCGGGGGCATCACCCCCACCTGCTGCGCGGCGATGACCCCCGTGATCTCCGGAAAGTGCCTCTGCCAGCAGAAGCCCGTGGAGCTCCTCAAGGGGGTCCTCGGCCAGGACCCATCCGAGTTCATCGGGGTCGCGGCCGAGGTCCTCGGGAAGCTCGGCTGCAACGCCCTCGATGGTGCGCAGGTCTACCCCCAGTGCGAGGCGTGAGCAGGTGAGCGATTGATTGATTGCTGGGAGGAAATGGATCGCCCATTTTGGATTTTGGAGGGATGGACTCGTGTTTGTTGAGGAAAAAGAAAAAAAGAAAAAAAAGCTTTAAAAAGTTTTGCGTGTTCATCCAATATTCATCCATGCCCATGGCCTTTCTTTCCGCTAGTTTTGTGCAAAGGTCGTTTCAGTTTGCGTTTCTCGAAATGACCATTCCGCCCTTAGCAAGCAAGCAAGCTCGCGAGCAAGGGCAGCTCGTACTAACAAACGCGTGTGCAACCCTGAGGAGTTACAGATTTTTTGGTTCCCACAAGTGCTTGAGAAGGATGTTGCGTGACCCGTTCGCATCCCGACCGCACTTGAAGCCACACTCCTGGCACTTGTACACCTCTGCTCCACCCAGGTTCTCCTTGATGTGTCCGCACCTGCCACAGGTCTTGGAGGTGTACTCCTCCGTCACGATCGCCAGCTCACTGCCGTGCAAGAGCACCTTGGAAGCCAAGTACGTTCTGAACGCATAGTGCCTCAACGTCAAGAGCATGCGAATCTTTGGTGGTCGCGCTTAGGATGTTCTGTCCCATGTCCGTTGTGCTCTGACAGTTCGACTCTTCCATGCCAAGTACCTCGTTCAACACTCCTCCTGCCTTCACAACGAATTCGTCTTGGACCAGGCTCACGGCCTTCGATGAGAAGCTCTCCAAGTCGCTCTTCTCGTTGGAAATTTTGCAAGACAAGCTGCTGAGGTTGGCATCCTCCTCTTCGAGCAAACCATCGATTGCCTTGCAATCGACCTTGCCATCGACGTTTTTAGGATGGAACGAACGAACGATGTGCCGGCGGTCAACGGAGACATACATAGTGTGGTGGAGGAGGATAGAATATTTCAGCTTTAGGATTGCTTTTGGGGGATTAGGATTAGGATAGTCTTTAGGATCGGCTTAGGAGTCCTGTAGCATCATGTTGACGAGCATTGGATGCGGGGTCACTACCTCTTTGGCCTTTCTGTTCTCGGACTTCTGCCGGCCGGAGCCAACGTTCACGCCGCCTCCTTCTGCGTTCTCCTTGTACCCCTTGCCGATTTTGCAATCGTTATGGCTGCAGGACAAGCACCTCAAGCCCCTTGAACCGTTGGTTGGGATCAAGGGGATCGAGGGGATCTTCTCGATCAAGGCTTTCTCGGACTCAGGTTTCTTTGTACACGGAACACAAAACCAGAAGCCAATCGTGTTCTTCAGTTGTGTCATGCCAATTTCCTTGCTCATGTCCCAAAGCTCCTTCTTGTCGACAGACTCCGTCGCTTTCAAGAAGCATCCGAACGAACACCACTGGTTAAAGCCGCTTTTGAATATGAAACGATGGCAGTACCAGCACCAGTTCGACAAGAGGTAAGTGGGATTGTGCCCAGCTCGATCACGTTCCTCCCCCGGAACCGGTGTCAGAGCTCCTGTTTTGACCAAGGGGCACTCAGCGTGGCCAAGATAATCACAGCAAACACAGCGCAGAGCTTGAATACCGTCTGTAGTAGGAACTTGAGGAAACTCCTTCATCGGCTCCCTTGCTTTGGTCTTCCTCTTCCCTTTCGTGTTGGTCTTGGCCTGTGTCTTCCTTGTCGTACCAGTGCTCAAGGGACTGCTGCTGCAACGTTCACAGGGACATGCAGCGGCATCAAATTTGCGAAGCTCTCTCTCCCTCTCCCCGCCGTCCTCGGCGTCGCTGTCCACCAGAATGCAAGGACGACTCCTCTTGCACATGTCACAACCACAAATGCATCGAGTATGTGCTGGAGCGGTGTTCGCGGTGCCTGTTGTCCTGGACGACTTGCGAGAGCATTTACCAGCGCAGGGGCATTCGAAGAAATCTTTTTGAGTCACAGAGATCGCGGTTTCTGGGAAACATTCATTCTCAAACACGACATCGACATGTTCTCCCTTTAGTGCATCCGCAAAGTACTCAAAGACTCTGCTCAATGCGTCTTCATCCAAGCCGTGTCCATCACGGTTTTCAAACAACTCGTCCCTCACGGAGTGAACGTGGCAGTATTGCCTGTAGGTCTCCAGGAACTCCATGTGCTCCTCGCGAAGAATGATGTCGTAGTTCGCTTCCGTGATGGAACAAGCAGCGACGAGCACACGAACTGTGGGTTGGTTCTTCCATGCGCGGACGAGATCACTCGCCCGTTGCTCCACAAAGCGCTTTCCAAGAAGATACTCCTCATCTCCAGCGAGAACCTGGGCTACGGCCTCTTGAACGTGTCTCTCCTCGGTGACGACGGCATCCACTTCTGTCAAGCACGCAACCGTTGCTATGTTCGCCTTACAGCACCTTTCCAAGAGCGTCCCGAGCGTCGCAAGCTCCCTTGTAAGCCGATCTGCACGGGTGCAGAGTTCTGCGTATTTGCCCTCGTCGCAGACCTTCTTCACCCATTCTTGGACGGCAGCCTCCTCCGAGGTCGAGCCTCTGCAAAGGTCCCAATTGTGATTTCAATCACCGGCAGCTTCCGCTTAGCGCAACATCCTTCTGAAGGTTGTCGCGCACCTTGAGAGGACGTGGAGGAGTAGGCACCGTTGGACATATATCGAAGTAGACTTGGCGACGTCAGTTCCAGGCGACGTACGGGCAATACCTACGAGGAGAAGGGGTTTCCCGTGCTTCTGCTCCCCCGGCTTCTCCAGATTCTCCAGCTTGTGCCTCAGGACGTGCTCGACGTGTTCGACGAGGAGACAAAGTTCCTCAGAAGTGTGTTGGCCCGATGCTACAGAACAACGGGTGGCGCCGGACTTGAGCATGCAGTGCGACGCCGAGTACACGGCTTGCCCGTCCGAGGTGCTTGCAGCCTTGCTCATGTACTTTTTGAGCTCCTCTTTCTTTTCCTCCCCAATCAAAGCTGCTGCATGGGACGTCGGGATACACGCCAGTATAGAGGCCTGCCCTGCGCGCTCAGCAAGGTAGTCGAGGTCCTTGTAAGCTTGTGGCCGTCTCGACAATCGCGACAAGGCAGCTACAAGAAGCGCGCAAGGCTCGCCCTTCTCCTTCGCAAGGGCAAGAGCTTTCGTAAGAACTTTGCGGTCCTTGAGGCATCGCGAGCGGCTGGCGGTCCCAAGCTCCACGAAACGAAATGCTTTCACCTGTTTAGGAAGATCTTTGCCGAGCAACGCGCTTGAGATCGTGGCCGCCTGACCAGCGAGCTTGTTCCCAAGCCCCTCCTGCACAATGGACTCGCGGAGGAAGACGATGCAGTGGGTCAGTCCTTTCAAGCCCTCAACGAGCTCCAGGTAGACTCCGCCACGGCCTCGGACCACGCGGACCAGGGTCAGCTCCTCAGGCTGGCGAGTTCGCTCCGCCCGTGTACCCTCGCGTGCAAGGGTGGGCCGCGGGCCAGCTGATTCGTCTGCGAAGCGAAGAGAGGCAATAAGTCCATCCGCATTGAGAAGCGTCGTCGGATCCACGTTTTCCTCGATGGCGGCCATCTCCCGCTCCCTATGAGGTCCCGCGGAGGTCGCCATGGCCACTGTGCAAGCGTTGGTGTCCAGGCTTGCCGCACGGCTGCCCGCTGCCCTGCAAGTGGGTGAAGACAGAGACATTGGCACCACAATCCTTGGGCGCCACCCGCCATCCTTGGGCGCCATCCCCCTGGAGAACCGCGGCCGGGGTGGCGCCACCAGCCCCTTCTTCACATGACGTCCCAGTATTCGTCAGTCTCCTCTTCTTCGTCGGCAACCCGCGGCTGTAGTATTCCAGGAGGTAACTCATCGCTTTCTCTCTGGTCGTGGTCTTCTCGTCCCCACTCGTCGGCCGCCTCGTTCGCGGCTCTGGCGTTACGGCGGCTCTCTTTCTCTCTCCAGCTCCCGCCAGGTCACACACCTCGCCGTCCTCCTCGCCGTTACGATCTTATTGTCCTAGTATAATTAGACTAAACCTAAACCTAGTATAATTAACGTCTCTCACAGAACCCTTGTCTCACGGAGCAAGAGGTAAGGCGGCTGTTGTTTCGCCGCGGTGTTGTTTCGACACCGGATGTGATCCCCGTACTAGAGCCTCACCCAGGCGGGGTCGAACCGCCGACCTCCCGATTTCTCCCGATGAGGGGATAACAGTCGGACGCTCTAACCAAACTGAGCTATGGGTGATTCGCACGGGGTTTCTACTCTGCTGGAAAAAAACAAAGAATTATGCTATGTATACTGTTGTTGCGCAGAGTAGAAACTCCACCTTAGGATCGATCGCCCTCTTCAGAGGTGCATGGATCCCCAGGGTAGTCGGAGGGGAGGGAGAGCGAAGGATTGGCGGGGAAGGCAACGCAGTCCAACGTGGGTCTCTTCTCTTGATCCTACCACCGGCGTTGACCAGCGTTGGTGGAAGGCTTTGAGCGCGAGGCGAGAAGTCCATTCGTGCATGGATCCCCATGGATGTAGTCGTCGGGTACCTCAGGAGGTCCGACGACTACCCTGGGCCTGAAACTCGGAGGGGAGGGAGAGCCTAACTAAAGGAAAGGCACTTTGTTGAGCATTGCCTTCGTTGCCTTCTTCCTGAGATTCGTGGGCTTGTTGTCGCTGCTGCTGCCGAAGCCTTCCTCCTCCTCGTCTGATCCTCGGTTCGCCTCGATCCAGTCGGCGTCGGCGATGTCATCATTACCGTTCTCCTCTGAAGATTCTATGCAACTGTCTGGGTCCGAACCACAAGGCGGAGGCAGGTCCTGGCTTCGAGCCCACTTGAGAACATCAAGGTGCCCTCCGTAAGCTGCCCATTCGCAAGTCTCCGCGGGACCTTTCTCACCTGACAGGCCTGGAAGTGACGAGGAGGAGGAGGCACAGGAAACCGAGGAGGAGGAGGAGGACTACTCTGATGACGAGTACGCCGACCATTCTGACGACTTGTTCGACGATGACGGTGATGGTTGTTGACGACCGATCTCCTAAACCCAGCATCCTCATTCATCCTCAGTGTAAATCTGAACAAAAAACAACAAGAACCAAACTACACTACACTACACTACACCACGCGGTGGTCAGTCATCCTATTACTACAACAAAAAAACTCCTCCCTCCCTCCCTCCCTGGTCATCATCACCTCATCATCATCCAAAGCAAAACTAAAACACCAAAAGAAAACTTCGTCGTCGTCGTCGTCAGTATCGCCACCATCACAACTTTCTCTCTCTCTCTTTGATGCTGATGCTGTTCATCATCATCATTATTCATCTGTCCTAAACCTTAAAGACAAGCCTTGCACGGTTAAAAACCCAAGACCCGCCGGATTGGCCTAGGTTTTCTTTTTCTGTAGCAGCAAGTGATTTGAGCCCGTTGCTTCGTGGGAAATAGAAAGCAGGGCTTTTGCCCAATGCTGCGTTAGGTTTTTTCCAGGAACCTAAACCCCTAAACTCACCTTCATCTTCACTCCGTTGCTTCGTGGGAAATAGAAAGCAGGGCTTTTGCCCAATGCTGCATTAGGTTTTTTTTCAGAAACCTTCACTCCTCCTCTCCCTCCCCCCAACACCCAAATCCCCCTCTCTGTCAAAAATCAGCCTCATCTCCTCCATCACCCTCCTCCTCAGCTCCTTCACCTCCACTCCGTTGCTTCGTGGGAAATAGAAAACAGGGGGGCTTTTGCCCAATGCTGCACTAGGTTTTTATCAGAAACCTAAACCCCTAACCTCACCTTCACTCCTCCTCCCCCTCCTCCTCTCCCTCCCCCCCAACACCCAAATCCCCCTCTCTGTCAAAAATCAGCCTCATCTCCTCCAACACCCTCCTCCTCAGCTCCTCCTCGCCCTGCTTGGAGCACAGCCTGAGGACCTTCTCGTAGGCGCTCGCTTCCACCTGGACGCCAAACTTCATGAAGCATCGGATCAGCCCGAGGGCGTCGAGGGCATCCACGTTCCACTCGTAGAGGCTCGAGCAGAGCAGCGACACCGTGTACTTGTCCGGGGGGTTCCCTGCGAGCCAGAGCTGGCGCACCACCTTGGACAGGTCCTCGTCGCTCCCGTTGCAAGATCGCGTTGTTTTGTGGTGCAAGATCGCGTTGATCGTGTAGGCGTCGGGGCAGATGCCCCAGGACCTCATGATCCGCAGGACCCTCCTGCTGCTGCTGCTGCTACGGGAGCGGTGCAGCGCGGCGTTCAGGCACTGCAGGGTCCGGTCGGGGGACCGCCTCAGGGCCTCCCCGAGGGCGTGGGTCCCCGTGAACCTCGCCAGCGTCGCCTCCAGGCTGCCCGCGTCGTCGTCGTCGACGGACGCCGCCAGCACGGCCTCCATGAACTCCCTCGAGGGGCCACCGGAGGAGGCGGCGGCCTGCCTCCTAAAGTAATCCCGCCTCCACTCCCTCCGACGGCGTCGCCGGCGGAGATCAGCGGAGGCACCCGAGGAAGCCTCGTCCAGCGCCCTCCTCGCCCTCTCCTCGAGCTCCGCGTCCTTGGTCTCCCTGGCCGTCCGGAGGAGCACCGGCAGCGCGGCGGTCGCCTCCTTGACCGTCCTCGAGCAGGAGGTCCTTTGGACGGCCTTGGCGAAGGCCTCCTGCGCCCCGCACAGGTCCCCCTCCCTCAGCGCCGCCCTCATCCGCCCCACCAGCGACGACGGCCTCATCTTCGAGATGTCCTTGACCTGCTACCGCGCGCGCCGACGGCCGCCATCTTTTTCTTTTTTTTCAAGAGAGAGAGAGATCCGATGCCAGGAGCCAAAAAAAGAGAAAAGAAGGAGAGACGAGACTCCAATGGGACGGGACGTATTTGAGAAGGAAACCAAAGAAGAAGAAAAAAGAAAGAGGTCGGTCGGCCATACGATACACTACACACGCGGGTGGTGCGTGCATGCATGACCCACGACTCGGCCAATCCTAAGCCGATCCTAAAACCAATCCTAAGCCTAAGCCGATCCAGAAACCCATTCTGAGCCGCTCCTAAAACCATCCTAAGCCGCTCCTAATCCTAAAACCATTCTGAGCCGCTCCTAAGCGATCCTAATCCTAAAAACATCCTGAGCTGCTCCTCAACTCATCCTAAGCCGTTCCTAACCGCTCCTAATCCTAAAACCCATCCTAAAGGATCGTAATCGATCCTAAAACCATCCTGAGCCGCTCCTAATCGATCCCAAAACACCCAATCCCCCCCAAACCATTCCCATTTTCCCCAAAAGGCCTAACACCTAAACCCCTCCATTCCACCACAAACCTTGCTTCTTCTCTGATCATCTCTTGACCATCACCATCGAACAAAACTGTCTCTCTCCTTCCTTCCCATTCTCCCCTCGTTCCGTTCGTTCCCCCCTCCCCCTCCCCTCCTTCCCCCCTCTCCCCGCGTCCCATGGACAATCCCTCCCTCCTCATTCAGCAGCACCAGCACCAGCAGCAATGGCGTCGTCGTCGACGACGTCGCCGTCCTCGCTCCTCGTCTTGGCCGGCGTCGTCGCCTTGGCCGTCGTCGCCTTGGCCGACACCACCACCACCACCACCACCACCAGCTCGTCGTCGTCGTCGTCGTCGTCGTCGTCGTCGTCGTCGTCGTCGTGGAAGCTCAAACCGCCCAAGCCCTTGCTCATGCCAGAGTCTCACCTCGGCACGACGATGTACTCGGAGCACCACGTCATCGTGACGATGTACTCGGCGAGGAAGGACATCCTTTACGAGGTGGACGGGAGCGGAACCTGGACCAAGTACACGGAAGAGGTCGTGATATCCGAGCCTGGGGTGCACACCGTGATTGCCGTGTCTGTGGACGGTGGGATCCACTCGGAGAACTCCACGGCAGTGTACAAGGTCGCTGCCGTGGCCAAGGTCAGTGCACATTCCACCCTTTCCACCCATCAAGCAAGCAATCAAGCCTCTGTGGTACTGACACTCCTCCTCCTCCTCACAAGGGCGCGGCTTACGACGGCTACCTGGACCACTGCACGGTCGGCCTCGACCTGGACGCCGACCTGGAAATCGACTCCACAACCACCTCCTCCTCGACATCATTGGATTCCTTTGGCAGGGCCTACTACAAACTCACCTCTCTCTCCCCCCTCGTTCGGGGGTTCGTGATGCTCCTGCCGGACCACCCAAAGGACTGCGTCTGCGGCGTCCCAAAGCCGACTTGCTGCTGCGATAAGTCCGTTGGAATCCCCCAGATGCTCTACCTGAGGACGCCGTCCAACGCCACCCAGCTCAACCCTGCGACGACGATCCTTTCGCAGATGCTGGTCTTGAGGCCCGAGCTGTCCCTCGGCGAGGCCCAGGACGCTCTGAAGGCGGCCTGGGACATGCCCCGGGCTTACGACGTGGTGGGGGACGACATCTTGTGGCTTTCCCTGAACAGCTACTTGGACGTCCAAGGAAAGGGGCCACGGTCGTTCGTCAGGATGGCCCAGATCGAGGTGCTGGCGTGCTGCGTCGCGATGACGCTGGCCGGCTCCCTCGGCGTGGATTGGCCCGACTCCGCCACGGCCACTTCCGTGTATTCCGCCATCGCGCAAGCCACCTTGGAGGCCTCAGCGCCTCTGGACTTGGCGTCGAAGGGGACCACGGAGAAGGTGGTTCGCTTGAGTTCGCAAAACTTGGCAAAACTACCTGCGGCTGCCCTGAATGCCACGTCAGAGATCGTCTCGAGGCTCTCCTCGGACCTCGTTCGCCTGCTCCACCGCTACGAGGACGAGGGGGAGGCTTCTGCTTCTGACTTTTCCCTCCCCGTGGAGATCGCGGCGGTCAGCAGGGAGGCCAACACCGAGATCGGCAGAGATTTGAACTTGGTCGCGGCGACCAAGCTTCCCGCGGAAGACTTTGAGAGGAAGCACCTCGTGGATCCTGAGCACCGCGGGGGTCCGCAGCCGCCAAAAAAAGTTGTAACGCTCGAGGGGCAGCCGCCGAGCGAGCTGGAAGCACCGACGCCCATCGTGATGCCGAGCAAGCCGGCAAACCAGTCCATGGTGGAGACCTGGCAGTTCGTCCTGATCGGCGGGATCGGGGCCCCGATCCTTTTCCTGCTGGCGTTGTACGTCGCGAGGAGAAAGCGCAAGGGGGAGAAAGATCAGCTCTTGAACTTGGTGGAGAGGCACAACCTCCTGGGCGGGCCGGACGAGGAAGAAGGCCGCGTCCACTCGAGCAGCCACCACGACGAGGCCCATCACCGGTCGAAATCAACGACCTCCTCCTCCTCGTC